TCTGGGCCCATGTGCTGCACAGGACCCAGCTCAACTCCATCACCCTTGTCCTGCTAATCCTCCTCACTGTTGGATAGTTGTCCCTTATCCAAGGGTCAGTGCCTGTCTCCCTGCAAACTCCACAGTTCTGAACAGAGACAGACAGCAGGGAACAAAATGATTTCTATGTTACAGATACTGCAGGTGAAGCCCAGAGAAGTAGGTAACTCCAAAGCCAGAAAACCTTCCTCCCTAGGAGGATTGTAAGTGACCTGAGCCATCTTAATTCCAATGGGGGAATATAATAGAAGCAGCTCTGAATCCTGTCCTCCCTATCTGGGGATTTGTGTGCATCAGCAAGAAGGGCTGTGACTGCTGCCTGGGCTGAGCCCACCTGAGGGCTAGAGGGTTGAGGAGGGACCAGGTCTCCTGGCTGGCCAGGAAATGATCAGGCTCTTGGCAGTCTGATGAGGACACCACAGTAGGGGTGGGGTTGCCTGGGCTTTACACCTAGCCTGGGGCTCCAGAGTCAGTGGCCTTCTCTTCACTCCTACATCCATTCCTTGGAGAACTGGACAGCTCAGGCTCTGGAAAGTATAGGGGACATTTTTCTGATGCTCTCCATAGTAGCTCTGAGATAGGTAGGGCCGACTGATGGTACCTGTGACTGTGGGCCTGGGGCCATCTCACCACCCAGCCAGTCTCCCTCCCAGCAGCAGTCCTTCAGGAAAATGCGACTTTCCCAGCTCCCCATCCTTGGCTTAGTTCATGGGATCTTTTCTAGAGGTGCCACCTGCCAGGGATCTGCTGATTTATTCCCACATGCATTTGGGGCCATGCCCCATCCTGCACTGCATCCGGGGTGATGAAACCTTTTTCTTCTCAGAAGTGTCCAAATAGACCTCCTGCTTCCATTGATTCTTAAAAGGACTGGCATTCTCTGGAAGGTAAGTGGAGAGGCAGTACATTCAGGATGCCATTGGTGGTGATAGTTCCAACTTATGCAGACCACCCAGCCCATAGATCCTTCTCAGACTGGTGAGATGGGGGTTGGAGCCCTTGCTATGCACCTGAGAAACAGATACTTAAAAGGGAGATAGACGCATGAAAGCAGCAGAGCAGAATACGAGCTGAGAACCGGGGCCTTCAAGCATCCCCTTCCTACTTCCTCATTTTTATACCTCCACAGGGCAGCATGACATGGCCTGCTTTTGAGCAGGTTTGGGGACTTTCCAGAGTGGCTGGGAGGGCTGCTTTGTGAACCCAGCCCCATGGAGGTGACTTTGACTTGGCCCTAGATCTCTTTGCTATCTTGCTCCTCTTCTTGTATTAGTACACTTGCAAAATTTCTGTTGAATTTTATGTTAGTGGGTAGTTTAGCATTGTCTGTGTTGATGATCTTAGTTTTCTTTGTAATAATCAGATACTTGTTGTCTCTCCAGGGTACTCCATTTCCCTGAGTATTTTTCTCAGTGGAATGTGGGAACAGAGAGGGTCTAGGGGTCATGAAAGCTTGAGAACCCTGAGGCCATAAGCTTGAGAACTGCAGCCCTAAATAACTCATACATCCAAGTGTTTTCTTTGCTCTGGAATAAATTCCCTCCCAGTAGAGATCCTCATAAGGGAAGAAGTGGGGGATGGGAGCCACAAAGTTATTTTCATGACTCTTGTTGGCTGTTTGTGAGATTGTCCTTCAGAAAGCATAAACTAACAATGCCAGTCTTTTTCCTAATCTGAGGACTGTCACATTAAATAGATTTTATTTGTGCCCCTAACACCGTCAGCTCTCCCTATTCATTGGTCCCAAATCTGAGGATTCAACCAAACACAGATTAAAAACTATTTGGAAATAATAAGTATCTAGACATGATTTAAAGTATAAGGAGGATCCGTTTAGGTTGTACTCAAATACCATGCCATTTTGAATAAGGAACTTGAGCATTCTTGGATTTTGGTATCCTCTGGGGTTCTGGAAGCAGTCCACTAAAGATACCAAGAGATAATTATTTTATTTATCTTTCCAATATGGGTTTCCTCATTGTGAGGTTCCCTTACCTGGACCTGAAACTTCTGGACTCAGTGTGGCCAGAGGTCACCATCCTAGAGAACAATTGTTTTAGTTCTGAGTCTGCCCAGGCTGACATAGGTCACACCATTGTGCATTTGAACAACCTTAGTCTTGCTGTTGGAATGTGGGGCGTAGGTGCCACCACCCCCACTCCAGGGATGGCAGGTATGCAGGAATTGTATAGGAGTATGGCCTGTACTAGTCATGGCCTTGGAGCTGGGTGGGTGCTACTGTCCATGTGTATGGCTGGTTTCAGGGTCCTTTCTACCCAAGTCCAGTCCTTCTGTTTTCTCCAGCCCCTGACCTCATGTGGCCACCCTGGCCTTGGCCCTACATATCTTTGGCCTCTCTGTCCCTCTAGTCTGTCCACTATGCCACCTGCCACCCATCTCATCTTTCCCACAGACTGCTGCTTATGTCACACACTCTCTTTTGCCGAGGGATAAGGGACCAGACCTCTGGGTTTGTGCCAGAGACCCTTCACCATCTCCCTCTCCAGCCTGATTTATCTCTGTGCCCTATCCCTCCCACCTGCTTTATCCACAGATCCTGCCCTCCTGTGTGTGACATGCTAGTCAGCTGCCAAAAACCAACAGGCCCCCAATCATTTGTTCTTTCACTCTCCCCCTCATTCCACCCTTCCTCAATTTCCTGATCTCGCTGCCCCTCTGGGAAGGACTCTTCCTGCCCATCTCTGTAAATGGACTATGCTGGTCAGTAATCACTGACCCTGGTTCTTCCTGTCCTGCCTCCAACACAGCCAGCTACATGACAGCAGAACAAGCATGTTATCGTGTCTCTGGGAACCTGAACTTGGACATTGAGAGCTGTTTCCAAAGGTATACCATTTAACAACAAGTTAAATAGAAGTATGGAGCCTCCTGATCTGCCACAGGGGACGATGCTCCGTTAAATACTTGCATCTGTCCTCCTCTCGTTCGAAGAAACAGAAGTCACATTCAGGCTGACCTACAGCCAGACCTGATCCTATGTGGCTCTTCTGGCATAGAGTCAATGGCTGTTCTACTTGGTTGTTGGCTGGTCATTCTGGTTGTTAGGCTGGGAAGGTGGCAATATATCTCAGTGATGGGAGGTCACAGGACCCCAGGCTCTGATGCCAGAGTCCCCTCACCTCATAGCCTTGGCAATTTCTATGCACCTTTCTGCCCGAGGCCTACCTTGCTGGGTCACCACATGCATTACCTGAGGCAGCACCCTCCTTAAGGCCTGGCACTCAGAAAGATTGAGTACACCTCAGTTGGTGGAGCATTTCTGAGGTCAGAGAGGAAGCCATACTGGCAGACAGTCCTGGATTCAGTTCACTGCTCTTACCCTTAGCAGCTGAGTCCTAAGTCTGTAGCTTGGCCACTTGGAACCTGTATTTTATTGCCTGTGGGGAGGGAAGAGCCACCATCTACTGACCTCCATTGTGAGCTTCAGAATGTCTTTGGATAAAGTGGGTGGCCCAGCACATGTGGTTTCCCAATGCTGGGCCACTCTGAGGTTGAGATTGGGCTGGTTGGTAGGGAGGCTTCCTGCCCCCTGCCTGGATGCTGGCCCAAGTTCTCTGTGGCCAGCAGGGGAAGATGTGCATTAGACACTCTCCCTTGCTTGGGGCCCATGGAGCTGGCTAGCTTGGTTCTGCCATGGGCTCACAGTGCACTTGGAACAGCAACTTAGCCTTGTCCACCCACACGCACCTTCCCTGCCATGAGCAGAAATCTGTTCTCTCAAAATATGCATTTATTTTTTAAAATTTTATTCAATTTTATATCTTAGGTTACAGATTTCTTTCTTCTGAAAAAAAATAGCCTTGCTGATAATTTCTGAAACAAGAGATTTCAAAAACTTCTCAGCAGATACAGCTCTGGGACTCACAGGCTGCTGTCAGCCTCTTGGTTATCCTGTCCCAAGCATTTAGGCAGCAGCAGAGCCCCAGGCAGCTGCCCTCAGAGGCCCCCATGGCCCATCAGCTCCTGGCTAGTAGGAAGAGGAGCAATGATGGTTCCTGAGCAGCTGCCCTGAAAGGTGAGAGGGAGGGTGGGAGTGGAGACAGAGGGCTGCCTGGCCCCTTGCATGGAGGCCCCAACAAGGGGTGGAGAAGGTGTAAGCTCCAGTGTGAAGAGGGAACTAGTGAGATGGCCTGGGCATGACTTCACCTCTGAGAGCACTAGTTGCTTTGTGTGTGCCTGGGGATGCTTCAGTCCCTACTTTTAGCCAGTGTCTGCACACGGACGTCATTCCATAAGCAAGTGGCCATCTTCTTCAGGAGAGCTGGGTGCAGATCAGCAGGAAGATGGGCCAGGGCAGATGTGTGAGGAGACAGGGAGCAGGTATTTTCTATTGTAGCCTGAACTGGGTGTGACTTTGAAGAGGGGTACAGTATTAGATTATGTCTCAAAGGGATGAATGGGGTGAGACCCCAAAGAAGTAGAGGAGATATAAGGCTCCTGGTGGTAGAGACATAGGGTGAAAGTCCCAAAAAAGCTCAAGCATTTGCAGGGAGCAGGAGGCAGTTGGGTGTGACTGAGGAATAGGTAGGTCTGGAGCAGAGAAAGCAAGTTTGGGAAAGAAGGTATCAGTCAGCCTGGATGGGCCTGCAAGGTCAGGAAAGGAGTTTTGGCTTTGTTCTGAGGATATCTGTGCCCACTGAACAATCTCTACCTCTCCACCCAGCCTTGGCCACAGGCCACAACTTAAGGGAGCTGGTGCCCTGCATGCAGGCACCTGCAGACTACCCTCTCCAAAACCAAGTCTAAGCTCTTCCATTGACTCAGGTAGGCCTGGACTGGCTGGGCCAGGGTTGAGCAGGTCCTTCACCCTGGCCAGGAGCAGCTTTGGGCATCATCTAGGGAAACAATGATTTTGAATGGGTTGCTTCCTACTTTGCCTTCCTTGGTTCTTGGGCCATGTTGATTGGTGACAACCACAGCAATTCTGTTTCCCTTCACAGATGACTCTGGAGACGACGACGAAGAGACTGCCTCCCCAGCAGATAAGAGTGAGTTACAACACACCCTTAAGAACCTCTCCCTGAAGTTAGATGACCTCAGCACGTGCAATGACCTCATTGCCAAGCATGGTGCCGCACTACAGCGCTCCTTGAATGAACTAGATAATCTCAGAATTCCATCTGAGAGCGGTGAGAAGCTGAAGGTCGTGAATGAGCGGGCCACCCTCTTCCGCATCACTTCAAATGCTATGATCAACGTGAGTTCCCACCCCCACCACCATCTGGACATAAGTGAGGGGACCCTCAAAAGCAAGAGGCTCCCTGTTAGCAACACTGTGGCCTCTAATTGTGTGACCAGAGGTGCTTAACAGACCAAGGCTCTGTTTCCTAGGGCTCTAAGTCATTTTCAGAAGCCAGCACCTCCCATACTCTCCAGTCATTGTTGTTCTCTGTCATCTCCTTTACTCAGTCATTGCTGGGTGAGGACATTCTTTTTAATTGTCTGGTGGAAACCACAGTTGACTGTGGAATCTGTTTGAGGCTTACAGGTATTTTGGGCATGTGTGAGGAAGGTCAGGGCCCCAAGTTGAGAAGCTGACTAGTGGCCAAACATAATAGGGATGTGGCTGCCATGCCGACCATCATAGCTGCTCCTGCTCTTGCCTTGGGTACAACCCACAGACATAGTGGGATCAGGATCCACATAAGCATGGGGAAAGGAGACAGGTATGTGTGGTGGGTGGGGAGGTTCTGTTAGCTAAAAGAACTTTGGAGCTAAGCCTACCAGGGAGTCATGCCAACCTGATAGACAAACCAAGTAACCATAGTCTATAAACTAAGAGGTACAGCTATGGCTGTTGGTTACCCTCCCTGGGTTCTGGGAGCTTGGAGGGTCAGTCTGTGGTTACAGGAATTAATATTTGACTGTGCTTCTGGGTCCTTCCTCTTTCTGCCTGGTGAGTGTTACCCAGGTATGTTAGTGAATTTTGTATTGCTGTGACCAAAATACCTGACAAGAACAACTTAGAAAAGGCAAAGTTTATTTGGGGCTTACCGTTTTAGAGGTCTCAGTCAGGAGACAGCTGAGTCCATTGCTTTGGACTCAAGGTGAGGCAGCACATCATGGCCAAAGGGCAATATGGAGGAGCACTGCTCCATTCATGGCAGCCAGGAAGCTAAGAGAGAAGGGGGAAGGGATCCAAGCCACAAGATGAATTCTTCCAAGGCACAGCCACAGTAATCTGCCTCCTCCAGCCATGCCCTACCGGCCCACAGTTACCTTCCAGTTAGCTCACTCAAAATTGGATGGACTGATTAAGCTACAGCTCTCACAATCCAATCATTTCACCTTTGAATATTCTTGCATTAACACGGAGCTCTACCAGGCCTCTACCACCCAGACTTGGGTCTGTTGGGTATGGTGGCACACACCTGTAATTCCAACTACTTGGGAGGCTGAGGCAGGGAGATCACAAGTTTGAATACAACCTTAGAGACTTAGGGAGATCATGTCTCAAAATTAAAAAGAAAATACCAAGAGGTAGGGATGTGGCTCAGTGGTAAAGCACCCTTGAGTTAAATTCCCAGTAAAAAAAAAAAAAAAAAAAAAAAACCAAGGCCGAACAAAAAAAACCTCCCCCAAAGAAAACCCCCCGGAAAAGCAAAATCAAGCAAAACCGGGCCAGAAGTCCCATGGGGTGGCATGCTGGGAACAAGGTAGTCAGGCAGGGGAGGAGTACAGAAATGGAGGCCACTACAGAGTGGGTACTAGAGGTCCATGAAACATGGCTCAGAAAAGCCATGGGCTGGCTGAAGACAATGGTCAAGACCAGTGTCCAGGTAAGCGCCAGCTGAGCTAGGAGTTCGTACCATGCCCCAGGCCTAACAGGAAACCCAAAGGCAGGGTGGGCAAATAGAGGCTGGAGCCCACTGCAGGCCAAGCCTAATACCTGAGCATTTGAGATCCAGGCCTGTTGGCAGCATGATTGTGGGGCAGAAGGGCCTCCTGCCACCCACACATGTCCAGACATGCTCAAGCCTGGAGCCTGGGATTAACATTGGGAATCCCTACCTGGTACCTGAGGCTGAGCAAGGAGTGCCTTTCTCCCATACCACTGGGAATCTCAGCCCACAGATGTATGTACCTTTGTCCTTCCCCAGGTCCTCAGATCCCACAGTGCTCAGACTGCAGTCCATATTAGTGTATAAAGAATCCAGCAGCGGCTGGATTGGGCTGTGTGGCCACCCTGCATGTCGCCCCATTCTGCTTTCATTTTCTTCCACCTACCTTCTTGGGTCACCATCCTCCTTACAGCTCACAGATTTTGTGGGCCCAGGTCCCTGTACTTGTATCAGTGACACACCCAGATGTTGTTCATTTAATGACACAATGCTGCAATCATGCTCTCCCGTCCATCTGGAAGCCAGTGTCCACCTGATGCTTCCCTGGCTTGGCTTCCCTGGTACTGCCTTCCACCCAAGACTGAGGCCACTTGGCCTTGAAGAAGCAGGTTTGGCTTCTCCAAGATAATGAGCCTCACAGCTGGTTCTAGTCTAGCACCTCTTTTATCAGGCATCAGAGGCTCATCTGTGTTTACAAAGCCATAAAACAGCTCACAGTCTAAGTGCATAATGAATTGTTTTATGGGAAGCACAGCCCTCTGGGATTGCTTATGAGGCCTCTCTCCAGCACCAGCTCCAGGGAAATGTGTGATAGACAATTGTGGCCTTAAGGGTCAGGAGCTGCACCCTGGGCTGGGGTCTGTAGATTGGCTGGTATGAGCCTGACCCAAGGGCCTCTCAATCCCATGCAGAAGGTAGGAGTAAGGGCTGCCACAATAGGCTGTACTTGTAGCCCTCACTGGACCAGAGGCCCAAGTTTCTCCTGGGGTCTCTTCCTGACTGCCATCCCTCACCTAGCAGAAACCAGACCAATTCTGAGAGAGCTTTTATATGGCTCCATCAATTGTCCAAACCCCTACTGTGTGCCAAGGGACCATGTAGGCAAGTGTGCCTGAGGGTCACCACATGGGTCACCCCTGGCCAGCCTTGGCTTCCATGTCTTTTACAAGAAAGGGGTTGGACCAGATTCTGTAACCAAGACAACCATACATCTTCTACCCCCAATTCCCCATGGAGCCTGTTGAGGCTTCAATCTCTTGCTATTTCCAAGAGCCTCACCAGTACCACTTGTATTCTTAGTGCTAGAGTGAAAACTGAGTCTCAGAGAAGTCACCTGAAATGCCCAGTGTTGCCAAACCAGGATGCAAACCCAAGTTAGTGTGGCCCACTGCAGGAGTGTTGGCCCCTGAGGGCTTCAGAGGCCCCCTCCTGCTGTGGTTGCACTCTGACACCAGGATATGGAAGTGAGGGCCTCATGTCTGCCCAGGGTGGGATCCCAATCTCGGGATCTCTCTGAGTCCCTCATATATCTCTTACCTTTGAGCTGCCATGTGGCCTCTGATCACCATGGCTGAGTCCCCATCAGGACCCATCCTGGAAGACTGGGGACCCAGAGATGGAAGCCATCCCAGATATCCCCAGAAGGTACAAATTGCTATCTCCCAATCCCTCCAGATATCACTGCCAGATGTGGAGGTCCCAATCCCCACCTCCTGACTGTGCTGTGAAAGGAAGCTTCCCAGAAGTCCACACCTGAATTTGGGGATTCTATTCCCACTGGCCCCTTGGATAGGAAAGACCCAGCTCCTGGATGCTGTATTTCAGCCCTGGTGAGTGGCTCCACGTTTTCAACCTTATAGGTTCTGACCAAGTCTGGGTCATGATGGAGCAGAGGGTGAGGGCCAGCCATGCAGATGTACCCCACAGAGAAGTGATCCTGCAGAGGCCCCACAGCCAGGAGCCTCCTATTCAGATGGGCCTGTATTTTATCCTCACTCTTCCCCAAGATGGCAAAGATTGCCATTATTCAGCCTCTGGAGAAAAGTCAGGGCAGCGGGGGGACAATTTAAAACTCCTTTAAATTTGGGAAAGAGCTTCAATATCATAAGCCTTTCAGCCATAAGCTCCCAGTGGAGCTGGGGGACATGGCCTCCTGATAATCCCTGAGTATCCAGGCTCCATGATAGTTGTGCAGGCCCCTGCCACATTCCACAGCCCTCTGAGGAGCAGGGCAGCATCCTCGCCTCTCATCCAGTATGGCTTCTTCCCTGTGTGTTTGAGGAGGGAAGGTTTATAGACTAGGGATACAGTGACACTGCAGTGCTTCACCTCTCCATGCCTTTGCCATTGCTGTACCATCCCTCTTACTATGTAGTGAAGTGCTGTACGGCTTATGCAGTTGAAGAAGTCTGTCTGATGGGCATTTAACCCAGATCTTAGAAACTATTTACTGAATCCTGCCCAAGCCTGTGCCAGGAAGGGACTCAGCAGTGAACAGACAGGGTGCTGCCCACCCCCAGAGCTCCAAGTCCAGCAGATGTCCTAGTAATGTTCTATCCCATATATGTTTAGTGGTGCATCCTTCAAAAGGAATGTTGACCTAGGGCCAGCAGCTTCCCTTGTTACTTGAAAGCCAAGTATGGATGGGGCCTGGGAAAGTGCTAAGACTACAGCCCCATGAGAAAGTAACCCTTAAATGCCAGTCATGTACACCTCTATACTCTGAGAGCCAGGGCAAGCCATGGCTAGGCCTGCAGAGGGCAGAGGTGGTGGCCTTAGATCAAGGCCTGGAAGGAGAAAAGTGGGCTCAGGGTCACAGCTACTAAGGATGTCCCGCTACAGCCTATAGGGAAATAAACTCATATCTCCTCTTGACTGGGGGCAAGAAGTCCTGCATCCCCAGCTCAACATCACCTACTACCCCCATCTGCAGCTCTGTGGTGTCTCATGGGCCTTGCTACCACAGTGTCTTGACTTGTCCTCCCGCAAGAAAAGGATAGACACAGTCCCCTTTGCAGTTCCAATAGCCTCATAGCCTCCATGCTTGGCACAGGGCTTAGAATATGGAAGCCTCAGCAAATGAGAGAAAGGGTCAGGGAGGGATTATGAAAGAACACAGGAACAAATGAATGAATTGCTTAGTGTCTGGCAGAATTTTCTCATGGGCAATTGTTTGCTTGCTTGCTTGATTGATTGATTTTTGGACTGACAAAAGCCAGTCCAGCAGATCCTTGCTTGAATTACTGTCTTTGGTAATTGGAAATTAGCCTACAATTTAAGAGAAATCTTACAGCACTGTTAAATGACTTGGGTTTTTAGAAAGAACCTTGAATCCCAATGTTCAGTGTTCGAGGTA